ATGCAGGGGGGTGGTTCCCCTCAGCCCCAACCTGCATTATTCAAGGGTCAACTGTATGTTGTTTATTCAAATAAGCTGAAGCCCTAGATAGCAAGTGCTCCTTAAAGAGTCTGTCCAATTTCAAAATCATTTTCCAAACTTGGCAAGACTGACAACAGATTCTATCTAAACAAATATGCTTGGGGTTAGTGAAAACATTATGAAATGTCTTTGTTTTTTAGCTTACAGACTGAACTTCTTTAACATGACTAGACAGAGCAATGTCATGATTTTTCACTCTCTTAAGTAAGTCTCATGACAAAATGTAAAGAAATTTTTAATGCGAGTTTTTACCACAATGTGACAACTACCTCAAGGAGTTTGTGAATGATGTATATTTCAAGAAGTTCCTGATTACTTAATGACTTTTAATGACTAAAAGCATGGATTCAGATTCCCGGACAGGTTATTAGGATAATGCCACTACAATGGATAAAGCTTAGTAGAAAACAGCAGTTTTCTTCTTAATCTACTTTAGTCCATTAAATAAACACATATTTCACTTTAGGTGCTAATCAGATTAAATTAATGATAACTACATTGTGTTTCTTTATAGAAATAATATTCTGAAATGAACTTTAATGTCAGCATCAGATTAGAGTTAACAATATCTCTACCTTGCTCCAAGCTTCCAAAAAATAAGTTAACATTTTCCAGAGGCAACTCTAGAGCCTCCCAAAGCCAAGTTTTTGCCCATTCCTTTTTAGAAGTTCTCCACCCTTCTCCATCCCTGCCACCCCCTCCCCCGGCTTTTAATGTTCACATTCTACATTGAAACCCTTTGGTTGAACCAACTTTTGAAGGCCTAAATTTAACAGTGTGGGATTTAGCTTAATTTGTAATTATGTTTGTGATTCTCATAAAATAATGGTATTTAAAAGGAATGCCCCATCCTCATCTTGCTTTCGTTCTTTATCTAACAGAGTGGACAATACTCCATTCCATTTAATTTGAAGAGTTGCTTAAATTTCAAAATCATAAGATGTAACTGTCTGAAGATAATATGAAGCTGGTCTTTAACTCTGCGAATCACTTACCCAGTGTGAGGGATTTGTGTGTAGAACAGAAAATGATAGCCACAGTGTCCGCTGGTGTGAAACCCGAATTATTCCTAGGGGCAAAAAGAGTGTTTTACAAATACTTGTATAAAAAGCCTACTTAACACATCCTAAATCAAATGTAGTACCTACCTTCATGTTAACATCCTTTTGATCAATCCTGGTGACAGAAGTAATTCTATGCCCAAATGTAGAGAAGTGTCTGAATTTCTTTTTAGAGAATCATTTCCGAGTCATTTATCCATGAAGAAAATGTCTTAAAAATGTGTGAGGGACACTACTTCTCCCCACTTCCCCATGCTCCTCTCCCTATCCCCCATTCCTAACCTCTGGCAACCACCAAGCTGTTCAAAAAATTTTTCATTCCAAAATGTTCTGTGTGTGGAATGATACGGTACGTAACCTTTTGGGATCGGCTTTTTTCCCTCAGCATTGTTCCCTAGACATAACTCCAAGGTGCTGTGTGTATCAATAGTTTGTTACTTTTATTGCTAAATAGCATTCCGTGATATGTATGTATCATAATTTGTTTAACCATTCACCTATGGAAGGACAGCGGCACTGTATCTAGTTATTGGTTATTAAAAATAAAGTTCTTCTAAAAAAATGTGTGGTGAGGTCTCTGGCTTTGTGAAAATCATGCAGTGGGGGACCTGTGTTAGCAAAGTTAACTAGGCTATCACTTGATATTAATACCAGTGGCTTGAAAGAGTTAATGTATCTCCATAATTGCTTCCCTCAAGAAGCAGCCGACCTTTCTGGCAGCAAACACACCCTCTGGAGGAATACATGGTATGAACAAAGATTTAACATCACATGTTTCAGTAAAAATAACAAGTTTTCGTTCCTTGACCTCTTACTATGTATCAGATACTCCTCTAAGTTCTGTACATTTGAAGAGAACTATTCCATAAGGTAAGCGATACAATATCCCTATGTTATATCCAATATGTTAAGCATTAAAAAAAAACTCACTTAGCTAAAACCCATTAAGTGCCATGGGGGTCAGTACTGGTGAATTTCATATTCAGATTTTCTATTTTAGGACATAAAGATTTAGAGAACCAGGAGCCAAAAGGATTAGAAATGTTGTTGTTGTTAGTGTGCTTGATATGTTAGAAACTATTTCTTCCTACAGAATCAGGATTTGAAGTTACAGTGAGTCTATTCATTCCCTGCCCTGAGTTAGCAAATGGAAAACACGCCAGAACCTGATTCTGTATGTATAGTTGTGGATATAACAATCAATCCAATTTTTAAGGATCTCTAAAGAAAGTGATCCCATCGCTTTCCTTAGTAACCTCATCCTCACTATAACTTTCACTGGGAGAAAAATCTTCCCTAAATAGATCCACACATCCTGTTTTCTTTGTTATATATTCACTGGAGGGGAGAAGGGCCTCCTCCTCCTCATCATCCCCGTGTTAAGAGAATATGAAAATTGCCCTTTGGTCTTCTCTCCTCTGAAAAGTCATGTGTGCTCATGCTTCCTAACCAGTCTTACCTCCTGCTCTTTTTGGATAACAACTTCCCGAACAGTTTTTGGTGTCTCACCTCAAGGGAGGATTCTCATGGATACGTATCGCTTGAGTATAATAAGATTGCCTTACTGTTCCCACATTTTATCATCATATTTATATTGTGATATCATTTTTCCTTTTAAACACTGAACTACACGGCTGACATATTCCTTGATCCCTTTGTTCATTGTGTGTGTGTGTGTATGTGTGTGTGTGTATGTGTGTGTGTGTGTGTGTGTATGAGGGAGATTGAAAAAGACAGAAAAAAAGGGGGTTGGGAGGGTTATGGCACCAAAGAAAAGGATTATCTCAAGCTTGGTAAGGAATGCAGGATAATAATGGAGCACACAGAGAATGTTCTTGAAGGAAATAACCATCGAGCTGGCTTTAAAGGACAGGTTTAGACGTGGGTGGGTGTGTATTACAGGTAAGGGGCAATGAGACTGGTATCTGGGGGTGTAGGGGACAGTTGGCAAAGAGCAGACTCTTCAGGCTGACTTGAGTGCAGGGACGCTGGTTTGTGACCAGGAGTGTGGACGTGACAAGATGGGCTAAGGAGGTTGGGAGGAATAACCACCCAGTGCAGTATAAGAAAGACTGGTGATGATGAGGCTGGGCAGGAAGCAGAAAGCTGCCAGGGCTTGAAAAATCACAGTGAGGGCAGGGATGCTGGTAAGAGACATGAAGACAGAATTAAAAGAACTTGCCAAATGTTGACCTCTGTGAAATATTCCCTCCCAGCAGCTTAAGAGCACAGGCTTTGGGGGAAGACCCACCTGAATTTCAATCCAGACCATCCTTTTGCTTACATAGAAAATGGGGATAGTATATTAGGGGCGATTGTGAGGATAAATAGCATTGTTTGTTAAGAATTTGGCACATTGCAAATGTTTAACACAAGCTAGCTGATCTTTTTATTGTTACTGTTACTTTGACAGAGGAGGAAGAATGAAAGAGAAACGAGAAGCTTCGGGCACATAGCATTAAGAGCCGCACTAGGGCGTTAATGGAAATAGGGAAGGGAAGGGGAGGCCCAATGGGGCCTGGGGAGGAGGCCAAGGAGCGAATGGAATTTGTATTAATGAGAGGGTACCGTTTTTTCAAGAACTCTGGTAAAGAGAAGAAAAAGTTCATGGGAATCTGAATGTGACCATGCAGAGAGTGTGAAGACCCAGTTGTAGAAACAACTGATGAAACCAGGTCCTTAGAGAGGTCAGAGAGGCCCGGGCTGTGGGATTAGCCTGACAGGGCTTATTTTCTAGTCCGTGAACTAGACACAAAAGAAGACAGGGTGAGTGAAAAATACGGAAAATTCTCAGGTAGAGAATGGGAAAGGAGAGGCAATTTACGTCAGAGATTTTACTTTCTTTGTAAGGCATGAGGCACTTCACTCATCCTCAGAGCTGGAGGTAATGCTGAGGCCTGGGAACCTAAGAGATTAGGAAAACTTGAAAGAGGCAGACTGGGGAGTAGGAAACAGAGTCAATTCACAGTGAATAAACCCCCTCTACAGGAATGAAGGCCCACCTGCGCTTGCAGAGCACGTGGCATCACAAACTGGCCTAGGTTGAGGCTGTTCTCCAGCCGTACTTGTGGTGTTGGTGACGCTACAAAGGCCTCTGTAGTCTTTTGCTGCCCTTGTTTATAACCCATTGTTGCTGCATCTGGATTATGCAGTTCATTTTTTTTCCACCACAGTCCGGCAACACACTTCTCCTTTAGTGAACTTTGTTCTGCTTGATACCTTGCTCTTTTCCAGGCTGTAGCACATTTCCAGTGTGTCAAAATCTCTCTGGCCGAGAAGGCTCTGATTTACTCTGGCCTTGGCTGTCATGGGTCAGAGCAGCACTTACAGTGTGGCTAAGAAGGGTATCTGCCGGCTCTGCTTCCTTGTCCTGTTTCAGGTAAGGTGGCTGAAGCTAGGCCTGCGCGGGCAAGTTTCCAGCCCGATCTGAGTTGGAACGCTGCCCTGTGGTTCTACTGACACAGGGTCCGTCAGGGGGGAGGGAGTGTCAGCACATAAAAATGGACCATTAAAGGTTAAAACAATATTCTCCCTAAATACTCCATCTGTAGAGAAACAGACTGCTCCATAACCTGGGCCGTGGGGAAAGCCAATAGAGCAAATGCTCACCGAGGCCTCCGTTCACGAGGAGGAGGATGGTGCTGATGAATCACCACAGCGGGAAACACTGAGCATTCTTCTAAGCACTCTACTCCCAGTATTTCCTTCTTCTTGGAACAGCCTTATAAGCCCCAGGGTACTACTATTGCTTGCTTTTTCTGAAAAGGGAACTTGAAGCACAACAAGGGTAAACAACTTCTCTCAAGTCACACGCTGCCGCCAGTAAGTAGGCTGCCCTGAACTGGAGACAAGCCTGCTTTCTGAGAAGGAAATTAAGAAAACCAAAACCAAAACCAAAACACCACCACACACTTTAGTGGATGAGAGCCGCTACCTTGGTAAGTAACCTTCCTTCAGCCACGCTCTGTCAAGCAGCGGCCTAAGGGCAGAAAGTCATGACAACACCCAGAAAAAGGAAGCATCCTGTGCATTATATTTAAGTGGTAATGACTATAATTATTTTCAGTGATTAACATCTCTATTATGTCTGTTCATGCTCTTGAAAGGAATCACATTACTATTTATTTTCTAACTCTACCTTATCTCTTTTTAATATTGACTTCCTTTTTATCCTGTTTTTATAATTCTTTTGATCACTTTGGCTCCCCTTGAGATGTTTATTTCCTTTTCTTCCCAACTGGTCTTTTTATGCTCTTTTACAAAGCTTTCAATCAGTGTTTTCCACATAATATTTATCTTGCCTTTCTCTGCAGTATTCACAAAGGAAAACATGTCAGAAGGTTTTACTAGTAGAATCACAGAATGTGGAGCAGAAAAGGTCCTCTGAGAGAGTTCCACCTAAGCCCACTGTTTTTAAAGGAGGAAACTTCCATGTGAAATACTTTCTTTTGTTAACCTCTGTACCTGTGTTTTGTCTTTAGTTAATTTTAGGAGAAGCCCTCATCTGTCATTAGCTGTGTGCCATTAAACAAGTTACCCAGAGCTCTGTGGCTTAGTTGCCTCATGTCTGAAATGGTAAGACTTACCATTAATACTAATACCTGCCTTCTTCCTCCCCTCCCTCCCTCGCTCCCTCCCACACCTCCTTCCCTCCCGGGGCTACAATGAGCAGCCGATTGAGACATCCGATTAAAAATGTACTGAGACAGGGATGAAAACACCTATACAAATATTCAACATTTGTTTTCTTCTTTTTTTTTCTTTCTCAATAGTTTCTTTTGTCACTCCAGTGATATTCTGGGTTTCTATTACTCTAGTTATCAGCTTTCCAAACTGTCTTATGTATTTTTTAAAGGCTCACAATTACTACTTTCTTTTTCTTAACCTTTTCAACATTTTATTTTAACTCTGACAGCTTCCCCAGGTTGCAGACTGTGGACAGGGTACTCTGGACAGCTGACTCTTGGTTTGATGAATCAACTCTTGTCTCCTAGCATCTGTGACAGTGTAACATCAAAGAGAATGTACTACAAAGCTAGAAATGCTAATTTCTTCTCTTCCATCATTAGTTTGTGCAATAATATAGATACACTGTTTTGGTATAATGAATATTTGACAGTTGCTAACATTTACTGAGCACTTAGTATATGCTAGGTGTTGTGATGAGGACTTTCTGTGCATATTATTCAATTCATCAAATGACTCTATGAGGTAGGTCCTACTACTATCCCCATTTTATAAATGAGGAATGACAAAAGTCACAGTTATTAAGTAGGATTGAAACTCATGTCTGTCTGACTCTAGAATTGGAATTTTTAGCCCTGACATTATTCGGTCGACACATAAGAACACAGAGTAGTAACTCTAAAATGTATTTTAAATACTCAAAGTAGTAGTTCACATGCCAGGCACTAGAAAGCTAACATTGTCAGGTCAGTAAATCTAAGAAATGTTAACCAGGTAAGAGGAGTGTTGTAGGAAAGCTGAATTTTCTCAGCTGGGTCTCTCCTGGTTTATGCTAAACTTCCATCATCAGGGGTCAGTGGCATACTGTACAAAAAAAGAGAGACGGATTTCCATGCTGAGATTTTTGTCTCTTGATATCTGGACGGGTTTTAGATTTAATGAATCGGTAAGAAAAAGATGAGAAACAAACCACAGGCCAATTTCACTAATTTCAAGTAGAAAGAAACAAAAAATAGGAAGAGAAAATGAAACTCAGCAGAGTATAAACCAATGGGTCCTAGTTCACACTCTTGGTGTCTTTGACTAATTTGTTTGTGTGAGTGAACTTCAAGAATCCAGTTAAATACTCTCTACAGATTCCCTAACCAAAACAAGCACTTAGGAATTTTAAAAGTAGTTTAGTGCAGTGGAAAAAGTGTGGGCAAATGTCAAATGGAAATGGATTTCAATTCCACACGTACTCTTTGCCATCTGTTATTAAACTACTAAAATCTGATTTTAGGCAAGCTATTAAACTAAACTACTCTAAGTACAGGTCCTCATCAGCAAAATAGCAACAAAAATGTATCGTATCATAGTCTTTGCTGTCAGACTTTCATGAAAGAACATACATATAGTCCCTAGCACAGTGCCTGCCACAGAGCAGGGCTCCATAAACGTTGGTAACTTTTATTGCTCCAATAAAACCCTTAGTTAGGCACAAATGAGGTCTCTCATAGTGAAAAAAAACAAAACAAACAACCATCTTCTGAATTTTGTTCAATTGAAAAAGCCATGATTTTTAATGGAACATTTTGGGAGGGGCATGATTACAGCCACTCCCTATTCTGCTGTTTATCAAAGAATGTGCAGGTCTGACCATCGGTTGAGCAAGTTCAAAATGCAAGAGAACTTCATCGAATAAAAGGGTCTTAAGATCTCAAGGCCTTCTGCAAATCCAGTCTACTGCACACTGAAAATTCTCACTTTTAATTCAACCAGTTGTGACACCATCCCGGCCCCATCCCTCCTTCAGCCATTCCAGCGGCAGCCATTCTGTGCTTTTCAGCACGTTTTCAGTCACTGACCGGACATCTGCATCCTACCCAGTCTGACAGGATAGGAGGAGTGGCTCTGATAGGACTTCTGCCCCACGGACCAGCACACAAACAGCTGGTGAAAGGCAAACATCTTTTCTAGGGCGATGTAACAAACCATTTACAAAAAGAACTTTAAAATAGCCCCGACTCCTACACTACCCATTTAAGTCACATTTTCTCAGTGTCTTAATGGCTCTGGGCTTCCCTCTTTATAAATTACAACCACAAGCTAGGGAAAATGGTTCAGATTACACCAATCAATAAATTTCTATTGACTGCTGACAATCAGCCTCATGCTATGCCAAGTGCTGTAAGGGCCAAGTGCCGAACGCGAGGCCAGAACAAGCCACTGCTCTGCCATTGTTTCGATCTCAAAAACAACCCGGGCCAGGCCGTCTGCGTGGCGCAGTCGGTCAAGCGTCCGACCCCTGGTTTTAGCGCAGGTCATGATCTCGAGGTCCTGAGATCCCACGCTGCATCAGGTTCTGGGCTAAGCGTGGAGCCTGCTTCAGATTCTCTCTCTCCCTGTCCCTCCCCCCTACCCCCCCCACCTGCTCGCGTGTGCTTGTGCACACTCTCTCTTCAAACAAAAACAAAAACTGAAACAAAAACCCTGGGCCTTTTCCCTTGTGGCAACTCACTGCCATCACCTGGCAATCTGGCCTAAGCCTGCCTTTCTAGTTACTGTTACTATTTTTTTAATCTTTTTCTGCTCCTATTGTCCCACTGTGTGTGTGTGTGTGTGTGTGTGTGTCCCACATTTGCATTATTGGTTTTTTTCCCCACCAAGAAGCTCCCCTCTGCATCTCAGTTTGCTGGTCTGCTGAAATAATTAGCCATTCTTTATAACTCATGCCAAATCCCATCTCTTCCATGAAGCCTTGTTCTACCACTCTCTCTGGAAGTGCTTTTTCCTTTGAATTGACTACTGGTTGGCTCACTGTCCACTGAGAGGACAGTTAGTAATCACACATATATCTAGGCTACAAACTCATGCAAGGTCAGAATCATCTCTCCTTTGTGGTCCTCACTGTGGTAACTTCCTCATACCGAAGTTAAGTAATATCGGTTGAATGTACAACACTGGTGGAAGAAGCTGCACTAGAGGTGAGCCTTTATGAACAGGGAAGATGAACCAGGGCACAGAGACCAATTTAATGAGGCTAGCCTAAGCAAGGAACAGAAATGAGAATGCATGAGGTTCCTCCAGGGAACGGCAAAGATTTTCCCCTCAATCTAAAGCTTAGACAGCATGAATGCTGCGGTTCACTCAGCCCCCCCAAACGAACTGCATTCTACAGGAACCCTTGAAGATCTCTGATAAGAGCTATTAGGAAGCTATTGTGATAAGGGACTATTATGAGAACTTTGAGTTATTGGAAGCAGTATGAAATGCGTAAGAAAAATTCATTTTAGAAATGAAGATACTTGTAGGATATCCACTGCAACAGCCCAGGGAGAAACGAGGCAACAAGAGCCTGAATTAGGTAAGTGGCTTTGGGAGCACAAAAAGGACGCAGAGGTAGGACCAAGGCATTTTAAAAATAATGATGCAAAGGATTCCAGTCTAAGTAACCATGTGGATGGTGATTCCATTAACAATAAAGAAATGAGACAGAAAGAGGAAGTACTGGGGAAAAAATTTAATTCCGTCTTGAGACTGAGGTCTTCTTAAGACAGGTGAAGATATTTAAATAGTTAGTTAGTGATAAATAGTGCTGGGACTCAGGAGAAACATTGGAATGGAAGGTCTAGGCTTGAAAATCATCAGCAGGAAGCTCACAGCTCGAGCCAGCAGAATGGAGGAGGCCACCTAAGCACGTGATGTGAGCAGATGACACAAGGGCCACGGACAAACCCTTTGGGAATGTCTACAACCTGAGGGTGGCAGGAGCAAGATGGAATGGTCAGGAGACCGGAGACACACTAGAATAGCAGAGTGGCACAGAAGCCAAGTACATAGCACGATTTGTCATTTAGAAAGCTAACAACCGTAAGATAAGAGCCACCGTACCACTTACCTTGTTGAAAAGAGGAAGGTTAAGAGCATAAAACTCAGCTGAATAGAGAATACTGAAAGAAAAAAGATTGAATCTAAATTAGAGGTATAAAAATATCTGTAGCATAGTTACTGGCATGCTTAGTTCTATCTTCAACTTATGGGAACGCAGGGAGAAATACACACACACATTGCTAAACCAACAGAATCACTGAAGTTAGTGGGACTCAACTTGTCCTTATGGAAGATATCCCCAGGCATCATGTATGATGTCTACTACTGTGCAAATCTAAGACCCTCCTTGATTTGAGACTTGGTTATTTAATTTGTTCAATTTAGAAAGAGCTGGTTTATACTAGGAGTACTTACAGCAAATAGCATAACTGCAGTAGCATTGAATATATATTTTGGAATAACTCATGTTGATTTTAATAACAAAAGATTTTATTTTTATAAAAATATTATAATTATATAATTATAGTTATATATTATATTATATTTTTATTATATATTATATATATAATATATAATATATTATAATTACAAAGTTGTCATTGGTAGTACGGGATAAACAGAATAAAAGGCTGATATTTGATCCTTGCAGTTTCCTTGCACCTCAGAGTTTGCCACTTCTTAAAATGAAATGATACTACCGTGGGTGTATTTTAATAGAAAAGATGATGTAAATATCCACATTTTAACTAATTCGGTCAAGTATTATACTTAGAAAATGACGGTATTTAGTAAATAAATCCTACTTTTAACTCACAATAAAGGGTAAGATTAGCTCAAAGTTATAGTAAAATAAACTGGCAAAAAAGTGCTCAATCTAACATTCGAATGTGACAGATCCCATGGCTTCTTTCATCTGGCATCAACTATTATAAATCAAACATAAAAAACAAAGGACATTAAATCATAAATACATAACTGACGTCTTCTTCAAGAACAGACACACACGATAAAGTCACTGAGCACATATAAGATGAAGCTCAGTATTCTTTTCTAATCAAATTAACATTCGAAATGAATTTAGGGGACACAAATTGCTATGCTTTGCTCCTGAGGAGACTGAGGGGACAGCAAGAATGTCCCCTCTTCCCACTTACTCATGAACAGGATGAGAATAAGGCTGAACGTATCCAGGTCAATGTTTGGGTTAGAGAACGTGTCGCAGAAGGTGGTGTAGATGATCATGAGGAGCACACTGCTGCTGACAGCACCAAAAGGCGGTTTCTTTCTTTCAAGCCAATCCTTGATGTATCTTCGGACAATCTGAAATACAGAGATCAACAGGTTGCCTCTTTTCGAAGATGTAGGGAGTTGAGTTGGGCATTGCAAAGTGATTCTGACAGCAGAAAGACATAAAGGAAAGAGAATAATTTGGATGAAGGCCCCAGTGGATTTCAAAGCTTCCCTGCCACACCACTCTTCTTCTGGGGGATTTAACATTTGTAGTTAACTTCCACTGGTGTCCATAATGAGAGTGTATTTTCAACTGCATTCAAATCCATCCCTAATCATGCCAAATGCTCTTTGCTAGCTGTCACTGAGACATGCCCATTAAGCCTCCCCAAAGTTTATCTCCTCTGCTGATCCTAATGGATGTGTGTAATTATCACAGTCCCCTTTGCCTCAACAGACAATTCCAAGTGCAACTTTGGGAATCTTAAAAATCTGCCATCTTCAAGAATTTCAAGACAGTAGATAATCGAAAGTGATCCATGGAACATATCAATATTTAAAATGCAAGCAAAGCACCAGAAGTTTTTAATTAAATTATAACTCATGCTTGAAAAGCAAAAGTGCATGTGTTGTGGGAGTTTAAATAATTCAAACTCTGAATATCTAGAGTTTTTGTGAATCCAAAGACAAATGCCATTTGCATGCTTTTAGAATTCCAGAATTAACACTTAAAAATGAATAAACCTGTCCTAACCCTCCTACAAAAGGATGAGTGAATAAAGTTACACAGCAATCCTCTCTTCTTTAAAAATCAAATCAGATATTTAAAATCAGGACAGGTTGGTTTTGGTGATAACTTTTGCTTGGATATAAAAGTGAACCACTCTACTTAAAACCTTACACTTTTGAAAGAAGCCGAACAAACCCTGTAATAAGGACTACGGTTGAGACATATTAAGTTTCGAGTCACTCATTATCCTGCATAATTGAACATGAGATTTCACAACAGGCTGAATTACCATGATCCATTAGCAATAATGAGGTCAGGGAACTTCTCCTGACAAGGCTGATGGGGTTCTGTCATCTTCTACTCTGTGGCTAAAAAGGTTTAATTCGCAATGGAGCATACCTTCACAGATACTCGAGAACAAAGTGAACTGCTCTCAAGAGAACCTCTGAACAAATGGCTATTAGATCAACTTCATCCATTCTCAAGGACTCGGCAAGTGAAACTCTAGTATTAATAAAGGAAATGCTGGCAGAAAGCTGACCAGTTGGTACAAAGTACAGGACTAACACCTTGAAGGCTGGGTGGGCTGGGAATGAAAGAGAAACAGTGTTTTTTATATATGTAGACAAACAGTGGTTAAATATTAAAAAAAAAAAAAGATCTTGTAATTAAAATTACAGCTGGATTTATAAAAAAAAAAAAACTTACGGTTTTTCTTTTTGTAGATGTGATCCCACATCATAGTAATTTATTTTATTCACTTCTTTCTTTAAGGTTAAAATGAACTAAGGGATAGAGACGCCTGGCTGGCTCAGTCGGTAGAGCATGGGACTCTTGACCTCAGGGTTATGGGTTCAAGCCCCACACTGGGCACAGAGATTACTTAAGAAAACTGTAGTAAGGGGCGCCCGGGCGGCTCAGATGGTTAAGCGTCTGCCTTCGGCTCAGGTCATGATCCCAGGGTCCTGGGATCGAGCCCCGCATCGGGCTCCCTGCTCCTTGGGAGCCTGCTTCTCCCTCTGCTTCTCTCTCTCTCTCTCCCTCTGTCTCTCATGAATAAATAAATAAAATCTTTAAAAAAGACATTTAAAAACAACAACAACAAAAAAAGAAAACTGTAGTAAGGTAGAGAAAAGTAAGAGCAGTTCTGCCACACAATGTTATTGGGCTGATGCATTAAAACACGAATTTTGGATAATAGTGCTTGAGGTACCTGATGGCCCCGTGTTCAGGTATGTCCCCATGGGAGTAACTGCTTACTAGAAGGCTACAGAGAGACTTCACTTAAGAGGTTATTTCATAATCTATTATGTTTGGTAGCATAAAACTAGTAGTTGCCCAAATTTAATACAACTCAACTCCTTTAGGAAATAAAATAAATGGAAGTTACACAGAGTTACTGAAATTGATGCTGTCCTCCAATCGTGTTTTAATATACAATGATTAAAGACACAAAAGTCCTCTCTCTGCAATAGTTTATAGAATGTATGATACCAATTCCCAAAGTAGAAGTGTCTTCTTCTACCACCAGTGACCCCAATGACAAAATAAACAGATAAATAGGAATGAGGTACAACTGAAAGTCAAAGTCATTTTAAAACCAAGACAAATCTCTGATCATCAATCTACTTTATAAGCTGCAATTTGACTTAGTTGACCTAATTACCTCTTTCTTCAGTACAAAGTACTCAGAGTCTCAGAGTATAGAAGGACTCTTTCAATACGGCAGGAAACATGGACTCCTAAGTCCTGCATCCTCTTAGCCAAAATGTCTTTCTTCTAAACACATCAATGTGTTAATGCTGGATACTTAATCTTGATAAAGAAAACAACTAGAAAGTTGGAAACTGGACAGACCCACAAGCGAAGCAATAACCCTAGGGGAAAAGAGATCGTCTTTCACTGTTTTTAGTCTTGTAGTGATATTTGTCTGTGTTTTCTAAGCAAACCATTTTATAGCTTTGCCAGGCCCCGTAGAGCTTTTCTATCTGCTTCTAAAATTAAATTCACAAAGCAGCTGCTTTTGCAACTGTGTAGCAAGAAAAGTGTTAAAATCTTTCATAAACTACTGGGTGAAGTCACATTGATATGCCTTAAAGATACGCTTTCCCCCTGCTTGTGTTCCCTCTCTCACTGTATCTCTCTCTGTCAAATAAATAAAATCTTTAAAAAAAAAAAAAAGACACGCTTTGGATATAAACGTCAGGAAACCCCATCCTCTCTTCGTTCAGCCACTTACACTTCGATACAATCATCCTCCATTTGTCAAGAATCTATGTCATTTTAAAATTCTCCAAATTTCTTTGCCTTGCAGAAACATTTAATAACCTTATAGGAAACAAGCCTTTGCTAGACGATAGCAACCCAACCTGATATAGACGCCTCAGAATTCCCTCTTTGGTGCGCGGCAGGGGGGGGGGGGGCGTGGACAGTCAAGATGAGGTGGGAAAAAGCATCTTGATAAGGTGGCCAGCTTTGGCTTTCTTCGGGATCTATACTAATTCATTTGCACTCATAGCTCACAGAAAGTTAGGCATTCAACACCAGGTGACAAATCCTCATTGACTTGCTGTTCCCCATGGAGGGGGAAGGAAAAACGTCTTCCTCAGGAAGCTCTTTCTTCATTTTGATTTTCTCTATTTTAAATTAAACACCAGGAGAGCTTAGAAGGGAAACTTAGACTTGAATCCCAGTACTTTTAATAAGCTGAGCCACATATCAATTACTGTGTGACCTCCAAGCTGGAAACCTGAGAAAATATGTCTTAGGTGAGGAATGTTTATATACTGAGATAACTGAGAAGTGTAATATCCATCATTTTAGTTTTCTCCAATTTTTTTTCTGGGGCATTTTCTTGCTTTTTTCCCTTCTACTCTGTCTTTATATTTATAAATTGATTTTTGAGTGGGGATATGTGATGGATAATTTTTCATATTAAGTCTGAATTTTAAAGATTTGTTTTTTTTCAAGGTGACTTTAGATTGTTTCTTCAAGTTTTATCCTCTATTCCACTGAATCCATATATTTTTCATAAAGTGTTTGCTTTTTCTTTAAGTCTGTTGAAATGTATAGCCAGGGATATGAAATCAAATCCAATGTATATAACACTTTTCTTTAAAAATATTTTTATTAAATACTGAGTAGATTCAAAGTCATATCTAAAAAGTATAAACAGTAAAAATACAGGGGATACAGTAAACACCCATCATCTACTAAAGTATTACTTAAATTGTGTGCAGATATTATCCTGCTCAGTTTACAGTTTAAAACAAAGGCACAGAGAGCCCAAACAACTGGCATAAAATGTTAAAAAGTCAGTGGGGAGGGGTGGGGGTATGGGCAAGGAATATGACCTCTACCTCCTGAGGGAACAGGGCATCATGGTTAAAGGTATGGACTTCGGAGCTTCTTTCTTTGTAATCTTGGGCAAATCCTTAACTTTCCTGTGCCTCATCTGTAAAGTGGATCCAGTAGTAGTCATAGGGAAAATTAAGTTATTAGATAAACATAAAATGCTTTAGAACCAGGGCCTGTACATGGTGAATAATGGCTATTCTTATTTCCAAGTCCTGATCTGGTGATGTTTCTATCACACACTGTTTACCAGGATATCCCACTGCGTAATGCCACTTTTCTCTCAGAGCAATTCAAGTGAAGCAATGAAAATAGTTCATATCGAATATAATTTTATAAATGCAAAATCTTGCTAGGATTAATAACATTATCTTCAGCTTCAGCTGAAGACTATTTAATATGAAAAGCCAACCTCAAAAATTTACAGAAAAAAGGTGGGGCTTAGCACGCTGTTTTTAAAAAATGTTTTTCAAAGGTGGTAGAAGTTCTAGTTTGTTAACATTTATTCATAAATCTCTCAATATAATGCGTGAAATAAGTAATTATCACAAGGATTTAGATGTATCAAAGGGTTTATCAGGAAAAAAAGAAAAATTACAATAACACGTGTTTTATTTCTTTCTAGAACTGACAGACGACGCAATCTCTCAACCATCTATGGAAAGACTTATCTCACACAGTCACAGCATCTTTGAGCTAGAAGATATGAAACTCATTGTTCTACAAATGAAGCAAGTGAGGGCTAGAAGTTGTGTGTACAGTCAGGCAGTGGCAGAAATCGAACTAGACCCTGCATCACATTGCAGTCAGTCAATAATGAGTCCAACCAAAAAGAAGAACTGTATGGGGAAAACACAGAAAAATAAAATAAAATGAACTCTCAGAAGTATAAGTAAAAAATTAAATAATGAAGCTTTATTATGACTAGAAGATAAAGGAAACTATTTTCAACTCTTCCTGCCTGGTCTTTTTCTTCTCCTTCTAGTTCCCATTGTTTATTTAAAAGGTAATGATAAAATCCCCTTTTAAAAGATATACACATATATCTAGAGAAATATTTATTTTCATAATGTGCCACCTCTAGTTACAATTGAGAGATGAGACTACCTTGCCTGGGTTCCTTCCCCTGAAGTAGTACATATGAGTACTTCTAACAAGGTCCTCAAAGATCACATAACAAATTTTAGGTAAGTCAACTGATTACATATGAATACAGACATAAAAGAGCAGAAAAGGTCCTGGTATCATAGAGCTTATATTCTCGTTTAAGAAGATAGATAGAAAGGAAAAACAACAAACAAATCAACAAGAGGAAGATCATGATCCTAAGTAGAGGTTTAAACTGGATGATATGACACTGACTACTGGGCAGCCACTGGAGGAGGCGTAAGGAAGGTCTTTCCGAGAAGGTGAAAGGTGAGGTGTTCCAAGCTGAAGGAACAGCTGGTACAAAGTTTTTAAGGCAGGATCAAAGCTGGCATGTTTGCAAAACAGAAGCAAAGTCAGGGAGACCCAAGTGCAATGGGCAAGTGGGAGAGTGTTAGGGTAAGTAAAAAGAAGCAAAGTCAGGGGAGACCCAAGTGCAATGGGCAAGTGGGAGAGTATTAGGGTAAGTAAAAGAGACCTCAACATACAAGACAGGGTGAAATAATCTTGTGAGGAAGTACAGTAGGATTTCTGGGAAGTGTTAAGTGACATTTTAAATTTGGGGTCATAAATTTGAAACAAGATGAGACCAATTATGTGTTTCTCTCTAGTAAAGCAGCAGATCTGGGTAAAATAGCTACTGGGGGCTCCATGAGGGTAAATTTGAAGTTTTTTTCAGCCAATCTTTTTATACAGCTCACACCCTACTTTTGAGTAAACTACTAAATATACTAATTGTCTCTGCTTCTCAGAAGATCCCAGATCAATTATAATCGCTCCTGATGAATATTATGAATCAAGTACCATGCAAGAACTGACATTTAGTCTAGAACGGGGGAGTCAGAGCAGATCGACTGCACACCAGAGGGCATCTTTGTACTGAGTCTTAAGGAATGAGTAGGAGTTTGCTGGCAGGAAAGGCGCAAACCTCAAGCTGAAAGGCAGGGGGCAGTGAAGGGGCGTGGCCAGGTGAGGGAGTGGTGCGCATGAGGCCTGGCACAGGAGGTGCCATTAGGAAGGGGATAGTGGGAGGTGACACTGAAGCAGCAGGGTGGGGCTAGACTGTGAGGGGCTTTGTGGGCCACACAAGGAATGGGCAAGTTGCGGGGGGGGGGGGGGGGGCGCGTTTTTAAGGGGAAGAACACCACTTGCTTTTTCTTAGGGCTTCCCTGGAGGCAGTGAATACACTGGCTAGGAATTAGAAGAGGCTCACAGCAGAGAGACAGGAAGTGCAATAATTTAGACGAGAGATGACTAAGTTGTGGCATCCCCTATGGAGGTGTGGATGAGGTCGCAGATGCCAGATGTGAAGGACTTCTGCGGCAGAACCGGACGCATTTAGTGATCGCCTGGATGTAAGGGAGTGAGGTTGTACAGAAAAAGAGGAGGCAGGTGGTTTCTAAAGGTGGAGACACGGGGCTGTGACTATTAATTCCTAAGACTAGAACACGAGAGGTGGGTAGGTAGATGCAAATACGTTTTCCTCTTTGAAAAAAGCCATTAAAGGACTTTGGTACTGGAAGCATTTTTTAAAACCACCTATATTACTTTTTGACTACCTTTACTATTTTATAATTTACCGTAATACTTTACTACTGGGCGAGCAATGATGAGCAATCTAACAATTCATTATTCTCTCTGGATATATATTCTTAATTACATAAATTATGTAACTGTATTTGTAACTAAGTGTACATATAACTACATATAAAAATATGTATATATATCATTGAATAGTTTAGCTAAAGGTATTTTTTTTTGTCCACTATGTTTGAAGCCAAATATTTATTTTCAACAGAGATATTTCCAAGGTACACTAAGAAAAGAATGTGTGAGCCTTCAGTTATATGGAATTATTTTCAGAACCAAGAAAATAAGTATGGGTTTAAACTAATAGTAACCACAGCTTAAACCGTCTAGAGCTGAGAAGGGCAGGTAGGTTCTGTTATGCCTCCGTAAGACAGCATTTCCCTTACTGATATAGAACTCACCCATTCATTCCCTCACTCACCCATTCCATACATTATTATTGGGTGCCTATCATCTGGTTATGTAATGGTAAACAAAACAAATATGGTTCCTGTACTCGTGAAGCTTACAGTCTATTGGGGGAGACAAACAGGTCACAAGCAAGCAAAAGATAAGTATACATTGTAGCAAAGGCCAAGAAAGGAATCAAGGTGCTACCATAAAGAACAACCAGGGAAACATACTTTAGATAGGTGGTTCAAAGAAGGTATAAATTAAAGAGTCACATGAACAATGAGTTGGGGTGGGAGGGTAGATGGAAAGATACTCTAAACAGAAAAATTAAGCAGGAATTGAAAAAAGCCAGGGAGGTGAGAGTGTAGGAAAGTGGCAAAGAGGTTAGAGAGGCAAGGGACATAATGTTTAGCCAGAACACCTGATGCGAGCAGCACTGTGGGGGAAGTATTTTTCCAAGTATCATTGTACATTTAATTAAATGGTATTCTTTGAGTACCTTTAAATCCTTCCCTCTTATCCTAAATTTAGTCCCTTTTCTAAGGATAACATTAAAATAAAAAAAAAAAGTGGGAGACATGTAGTGGATGCCGTGGTGTGCCACCTGGAATGAGGTGTTCATTCCCACATCTGCAGGGCATGTTGGTTGTCCCAGAGATCCCGGTTGTGTTCCTCTTTGGGAATTGCTACTAAGACAGTAGACTCTCCCAAGATCATACCTCTCACGGGGAGGTCAGTGCAAGAGTCTGCAAGACTCTGGTCTTCGGTGGGATGATTCTGAGGGGTCAGCGCAGGTAGAAGCCTTTGCTGGAACTACGCTGTCCTGTACCTTCTCCCCATCCTACTTTTCTTACTTTCCCAAAGGTGTTCACCCCAAGGGCACTCCTCGAGGAAACTTCCTGCACAGAAACCTCTGTCTCACACTCTCTTTCCCAGAGGACCAAGCCTAAGACGGTGTGTAAATATTATATGTATATACCTGTAATATGTACATAGACATAATTTTTTTTTCTATTTACTATTTCAAAGAGTTGCTTCTCATTTAGTATTTACAGGGAATTTGAAAAATGATGATGATAGACACTATAGAGCACTTACCTGTGGCAGGCTCTGTGATGACAAAAACTTCATCTGCATCCACATTTAAATTAATCTTCACAACTCCTCTCTGAGATAGGTGCTATCACTATACAATTTGGTAAATTATAACCCTGGAGCTAAGGAGATCAAATGACTTGCCCAAAGTCACACAGCAAACAAAAGGGAAACTCAGAACTAGAGTCTCGTTGCTCCTTAACCAACGTCCGTGCTCTCAACCGTCCTGATACACTATTTCCCTAAGACTCACTCAACTTAGCGGCACAATTCTGTGCCCCGTCCCTGTGTTTTTACATTTGTATGTTATAATTCAATTATGTGCTTATTAACCTGCTATAAGAAGTTAAATATAAGAATTTCTCCCATTAGTCTAATTCAATAAGAATGATAAAGGAAACTAAATTTTCTAAGATCTAATTTTAAGAGCTAATAGAATTAAGTGTTCATTTTATTAATGACATGATCACAAATATGATCACAGCTACTGAAGGGGTCCACGAAGAAGCCAGCCAGCTAGAGGCTTGTTCCCAACAACAGTCATAATGCTGAGACTTTATCAGAAGGAACAGAATAAGGAAATGATTTGCTAGGTATTTTTTTTAAGCTACCGACATGGCCACGAAGTACAGATAATAAATTAAAAAAAATCAAGATTCTGTGCAGGCATCCCCATGTAAAGCTATCTGCAAAGCAGATTGATATGAAATCAAAAAATAAAAAGGTGGGACTATGGTGATGGATGAAACCTGGTGTTTCACAGTCTTTTATGTTTTCTTTTAAATGTCTTTTTCTCTATCTTTTCTCTCAATTGTCCTGACATTATATCGGAATTCACAATTTGACTCACAAAAGAAAAAAAAAAAAAAAAACAGCAGATAAAATTGGAGACCTTACCTGTCCAATAATGAGAGGAACCACAACAGTCATAAAAAGCTGAGAAAAAATAGATGTAAAAGGCACAGAAGAGGACGAGCCAAGCTGCAAAGCAAGAAGGTAAGAGGAGTTAGAATTACTCTGAGTCAGTTATCAAATATTGCTGTTAATTAAATGATACTATACGTGAATTCTCTCACAGGCACCAAAAATTTGGTAGCTATATACAAAGAGCAAGTGAAGTTACTTTTTTTCTAAATTTAGCACCAGGGCACCTGGGTGGCTCAGTCGGTTAAGCACCTGCCTTCGGCTCAGGTCATGATCCTGGAGTCCCTGGATCGAGTCCCGCGTCGGGCTCCCTGCTTGGCAGGGAGTCTGCTTCTCCCTCTGACCCTCTTCCCTCTCATGCTCTCTGTCTCTCATTCTCTCTCTCTCAAATAGATAGATAAAATCTTTAAATAAATAAATAAATTTAGCACCAAATAGACTAAGGTACTTTATCACTTAATTTTTATGGGGAACTACCATTGAGGAAAAATGATAACTATGGCTTTGCAATTAACTTACATTGCTTATTATTAACTACATTTCTGCTAGTAAAGTTATTTATTCTGTGTTCATACTGTTCATAATCATATGGCGTGATATTTCACCTATACTCATAGTTTGTGTGCTTTTCTCTTTGTCCTGTCTGCAGATCCCTAAAACAAACAAGGTGTCTCATCATTGTCTTCTCAAGATCATATTTTCATTTACGCAAATGAAATAGTTTCTAACTCTTCTACTCCATCACAACAAAGGCAATGA